CACGTGTTGGTTCCCTATTGGCTGATGGCAACAGAGGCGGGCCCTGTAGAAGCCCACATTCAGGGAGGAGCACATGAGCAGTCCTTTGGAGTTTCTGGGAGTGGCGCTGGGATGCTGGCTCTCCTGTGGCCAGTAGGGGGCAGTGGGTATGGACATGAGCAACACGGGCTTTCAGTGCTGAGGGCGACATTGGAGTGGCGTCAAGAACATGGGTTGAGGTTTGGGATTTATGTGTGATGAGAGGGTACCAGGGAGCTCTTCTGTGGGCCTTTTTCAAGGCTACCTGGTTCCATGTTGATGCCGTGACTGCTGTCCCTAGGCAGGATCTGTCCTCCTCTCTTGAAAGAAGGCAGTGGCATGTCTCAGAAGCCTGAGCATAGTGTGCTTGTTGGTACAAGCTTGAGCACTGGACAGGAAAGACCAATCAAGAAGCATGCTCTGAGGGTATACTGGAGGGTCACAATGGTTCAGTTCCACTGTCTCCTCAGAGCAGCTCTCATACTTAAGAGTAGCCCTCATACTTGTTAAGAAACTATCTTTTTGGGGCCAGCAGGTGGTGTGGTGGTTAAGGTGGTGGACTCCCACGTGGCTGACCACAGTTTGAGTTCTGGACTTGGTGGTATGCTTTCTCACTACCTCTCAAGCACAAGTGTCCCGTAGCAAATTTAAAAAATAATAATAATAAATAACATTAAATATTTTTTTAGAAAAGAAACCAGTCTTTTCCTCAGTATCTGGACAATGAGACCCAAGCACACTAGTGAACAGCCCTGAGGAGATGTATCATGCCAAGGCCACCCCAGGATCTCCAGTATGCCTGTCCCTCATGCTCTTGCTCCTCTGCACAGGCCTTTGTGGGCTCATCCTTTCTGTTACTTAGGCAATTGGAATTCAGTGGATGAGCAGAGGCCACACTGGCTAGAAGGGGGTAGTGGGTCTGAACACAACTGGGTCCTCTCATCAACCCTGAAGGCATAATTAGGGTAGCCTGAAGAACTTGCGTTGGGTACTTGAGTTTCTGTATGCTGAGGGCACACAGGGGCTCTCCTGTGAAGTTCCCTTGGGAGGAACAGATGTCTGATTAGAACTTGTGACCTACCTCCAGGATGTGCACAAAATAAATAAATAAATAAATAAATAAAAATCCAGCGTTCTCCATTGGTTCCGGTGTACCATATAGATTGATTACCCAATGTGCAGTCAATTATTATTCCTTCCAGGAATCAAGTGCAGTGTGTGTGTGTGCAAGAGAGAGAGAGTAGATACTTTTACTGACAAAGTACATGTTTTTTATAATAGGACTCCCTTTTGGAGTGCAAATGCAATTTATTGTAGAATTAGCTAATAATCTGCCCTACCACTTGTTTACTGCTTACCTACTTATATTATTTACTCTCATACACATATTTTATTTATTCACTCATTAATAAATATTTTTTGGGTACTGAGTAAGAGGTAGACACTGTTCTGGGTGTTTGTAATTGTTCAGTGAGTAAAAGAATCTTTGTCCTATGAAGGCAATTTTCTCACAGAAGATTAAGAGCAACAATAAACATGAAGTGTGATGAAGTATACTCTATGTTGTAAAGTAATACATGCTATGGAATGATACAGCAAGTCTAATGTTTCCACAAACCTAGGGAAGGGAGTAGCTTTACGTTTTTGAATGGGGTTGTCAGTTGGCCTCAGTGGGTAGCAACAGTGGAGCAAATTCTTGAAGTAGATGTTGGGGTCAGTCAGCCACCACCTATTTGCGGGGAGGGGTGATCCAAAGAGTAGGAGCAACTTGCACAAGGATTGAGGCAAGAGTGAGCCAAAGGTGTTCTAGGAAAAGCAAAGTTGTTGAGTCAGAAAAAGAGAGCTAGAATAGGAAAAAAGGCGATCAGACTGGAAATGAGAATTCGGGCTGTGTGGGGCTGCATCAGCCTGTTAAGTTCTTTGGTTTTTACAGAGCATGAGCTGTGAGTCTCTGAAGGATTTAGACCCTTTGAGTGATCTCTCTGGGTACTTTGTTGTAAATAGTATGTAGGGGATGACACCCTGAAGCAGGGGGGCCTGTCAGGAAAATACTGCTAAGGCCACTGGAACTTGTGGGGCCTTCTCATCCTGCTGCGTGAAGAGGCAAATAGAAGAGAGCTGAAAAAAGATGATCTTCCATTTGAGGACATGGTCAGGGAGGGACCCAAAAACCGGGTGAGAGCAGTGCTAGGCCTCAAGGGAAGATCTGCAAGGGGAGTGCGGAGTCCTGAGTGTTCTGGGCTGGAGTGATTCAAGGGATTTAGGAGATTCCTAGGGCTTGTGGGAACCGATTGGGGAAGCAATGCGCCATGTAGGAAGCATAAAAAACATAGCCTGTCCTTCAACAAGTGTCAGCATGGAAAACTTGAGGGAGGGCAGAGGATGATGGCAGGATTTTTGCTGAAGATAGTCGTAACGGCTAAGACTTTAGAGTGTGTCCAGTATGTCAATATGTTTGCTAGTCAATGGCAAGAACGACTTCCAGTTTGTCTCTTCCAATCTGCATGTGTGGGTCCTGGTAAACTCCAGAGCCCAAAACTGCTTTGACATTGTTTGGAAGCAAAGCCAACCTGAGGTTTCTCAGAAGACAACCCTTCCTGCATGTGGAAGAAAACCCTGGTCTACACCTGTGAATGAAAATTTATTCATCTACTGAAGTTTGTGGTGACTGGAAACTTGTTGCTTTTGCTGTCTGGGAGAATATGGATTAGTTTTGTCCATGAAGTTCATGAATGCAGTGGGGATGGGGGTGAATGCTACTTGAATTTTATTGTTTTAAGTGGTGTTTTGATATACTTTTCTCTGGAGGAGGCTCTGGTCTTTCGTCAGATTCTCCAACGCAGGTTCTCCACTCTCCACAGAAGGTTGAGAAAGAGGAAACAGCCCTTGATATCTAGGTGCTTGCCATGTATTATCAGGGAGGTTTTGGTGTTGCTCTGAGCTATTGGAGCAAGGTCATTTTCAAGAGACTTCACTATTCCGTTGAACATGGACAAGTTCACAGTATCCACATCAGATAAGGGCACTTTGTGACCACGTGGGCTGTGAAAATAAGACTATTCATATCTGAAAACAAATCAACAGGGACATTAGGTATGCCACATAAATGAC